TTGGGAGCGGAGTGTAACTGACTGTTCACAAGACTGTGGGCGAGGGTTCTAACCATGATAACCCAAGTTCCCTGTTTGAAAAATAGGAAAGATTATTGCTCCTTCTTTCAGTATTTTCAATAATTACCACTAGGTGATTCTCCTACCATTACCACTACCCCTGCCACTACGAGGTACTATCACTTTCCATGGTAAATGCTATTCATGGGCTTATACAACAAGCACTTGACACCCCCATCTCCCCCTCAGTTTACATTGTAGAAGATGTGAAAGGTAAATGCACGCTTTTTTCCTACTCTCTTGCACCTAGGAGATAGCAGGAGACCATTTTGGCCAATGAGACAGAAAGGGATCCTGAGAAACCATTGTTTTCCCTAGTGAAAGATGCAACACATAGAGCCATTGTGCAACCATAAGTAAAAAGGCCTGGAGAGGATGCCTGGGTGGCTCTGTTGGTTAAGTGTCTGCCTTCCGCTCAGGTCATGATTCCAGGGTCCTGGGATTGAGCCCCATGTCAGACTCCCTGCTCAGCTTCTCTATCTCCCTCTGCCTTTCCCCCTGGCTTGTACACTCTCTCTCTTTTCCTCATTCTCTCTCTCTCTGAAATAAATAAATAAAATCTTAAAAAAACAAAAGGTGCAGAGAAGAGCGGAGATGTTGACTCTGGCACCACTGAGAAGAGGAAGACCATGTCTGTCCACATGTTTCTTGTAACACGAGGGAAGTGAAACCCGTACAAATCATATAAGTCTCTGAAAATCAGGCTTTCTCTTACTTGCAGCTGAACACATTTCAAAACATTTATCTACCATTGATTGAGTGCTATCTATACACTAATACTAAGCATTTGACACACATCACTTCATCTACTCTCACAATAGGGATCATTGTCTACCATTTTACAGTTGAGGAAGCAGACTGGTGTACCTTATTCAAATTCACACAACTAGGTTTGAATCCAGGTGTGGCTCCAAAGCCAGAACTATACACTAGTTTGCTATATTTCCATCTACTCTCTCCACATCCACTGCTCCAAGAGTGTGTCCTAACTTTTGGAAACATAGTCACTATAACCTTGGGAGGTATTACTTTCATTTTAATGTGTGCAATTAGTGTCACCTTTAAAATGGAGCCCTAGCTGTCTGCCATGAGATGTATAGGACTTTTCAAAAATAGCCCAGACCCAGTCTGGGTTTATAAGAAAATAAACAGATGGAAGAAAACAGAACCAGGCTGGGAATAGCATAGTAGCTGCCTCTCTCCAAAGACCCAGAGTCAGGTATTTAAGCTAACTATTTAAGGCCCCTGTAGATCCCAATAAATGGGTTCATTGGCATATTATAGAATTCAAGCCCGAGAAACCCAACTAATGAAGGTAATTCAGAATAAAACATGAAAATATTAGAAGCATCCAAGTTTACTTCTTGCCCACTAGTCCCATTAAGTCCTGGAGATAGATAATGTGATACACACTGGCCTTTATAAAGTAAAAAGATAAATCCATATGTAACCAGTTATATCTTACAATGTGATAAATACCACAGTAACATTCTGAATGTCTTGATGTTGGATCACAGAGAAGAAATACTCAGTGTGAGAGCTCATGGGAAACCTAGAGGAAAATAATTTTAGTTTGGATCTAAATTATTTCGTAGAGTTATAGCTAGAAGAGGATGCTGGTAGGGGATGTGTGTGATGCAAGGGTATTAGTGCTTTTTCTGGGCTTTCTTCTCCACATCAAAAGCAGGGTCCAGCCTGAATATGCCAGTTAATGACAAAAAATAAGTCACTGTCTCAGCCATAATCACTAGACCAGCATTTACCACAACTACATATAGGAAACTTAACAAATGCCACCATCTTCAATATCCTAATACCCAAACTGCAAAATCAAGGACTACATGGCCCTGTAGTGAAAAAGGTTAAAATACTGCCAAAAATCTGAAGAATTTCTATTTTCTATTGGCCCTATTAGTAAATTTTGTTATTTATGTTGCCCCTTATTTATTGAAGTAGAGATGAAATAGTTTAAAAGAGTAACCAAATGTTACTAGAGGTAGGTTAGAATTAGAGCAAAACATGAAGTCAATGGATGGGAATGATGACTTGATTCTTGAGCAGAGATTGAGGGCCATGGGAGTGCAGGGGATATTTGTAATAGAGATCACAGTAGGCTTCATGTTATGAAAGGCAATAAAACCACTAGGGGATAGTATTATGCATACCTAAACACAAGCAAGAAATACCCACCACATTCCAACCTTCCCAAATTTATTTGCTCAGTAAATGTACCAAAGATTATTAAGTGTCTTCTATGCATCAAGGGCCCTTGTTGACACTTGCAGGCACTGGAGGCACAGTGATGACAAGGGAGACAAGGCTCCCACTCTGAAGGAGCTCACCTTGCTTAAATTAGGCCAAAGGGTGTGCTGTATAATCTGACAAGGAACCAGACCATGTCGAAATGGAGATGCTTTGGAAAGCTCAGTCTGTGTAATCAATGTGTCTATAGACCTCTACTGCCTTTTACGGTGCTCTCTCTGTTATTAGGGTCATCCTTGTTGCATTCCTGATACAGAGACTTTCAGGGGTGGAAGAAGATTGACAATTGTTAACACCGTTAGAAATAGCAAATATAGATTTAAAGTGCTTACTACACGGCATATACTTTACATGTATTTACTCATGTAGTCTCACAACCCTGTCTGAAGGCTGTGGTTCATTAGCTCCTCCATTCATCGGAGGAGGAAACCAAGGCATAGGGAGGTTAAGTGATTTGCCTACAGTTCCACAGCTGGTAAGTGATGCTGCCAGTATTCAATCCCAGAGCCGCCTGGTGCTGTACTCTGACGCCTTCTTCAGTAAAGCCGCTACTGTGTACCTGGCCTTTACACATAATTATTTCTTTCACTCTTTACAATCTTCTGAGGTAGGTGATATGATCTAAATTTGGCAGATAAAGAATCTCAGCCTCAGAGAGAAGGAATGGCAGTGCCAGGGTTCAGACTCAGGAGAAGCTGGCCACAAAGCCAGTGTTCCTCCGCATTGCTTCACACTGTCTAAGGAACCTGCCTGAAGCAAGTTTTCGGGGTGCTTAAGCTAGGCTCGCAAGGCTGTCTTTCTAGGAGCCTGTTTTACCTATCAGGAAAGGTTTTATTGGGAGAGAGTTGGGTAAAAGAAAAGTCTGAAAAATAGATCTACTTAGACAAAATAAAAGGCTGATCTTACAAAAGTTTTGGAAAAAGAATATTCTAGAGAGGAGTCAGGAAAGCAGATGGAAAATATTCTGGCAGTTTAGAGAGATGAAAGGCCTTCTGTGGCCAGACCATGACATTGCCACGATTTACTGAAGAAACTGAAGACATAGTTGTTTGCCCCAAGATTTATAATTTAGTTAAATACCTTGCTTGGTGTACATGGAAAGAGATGAGAGGCATACAGGGATTAGAAAAAAATTAAAAGAGGCAAGGATACAAGTTAATAATGCAAATGAATTAAGCTATGTGATTAAGTATCTTGTGAGTGTTTCTCAATCCTTAGAAGCACAGTACCTTTACCATCACCGTTATTCAGGCTTTGAAGAATAAGGGCTGATAGAAATGTGGGACTTTCCATGCAGGCTAAATTATGGTATAAGAGAATTGTTCAAGCAATAATATTTAGCTATTTATCTTCAATTCAAAAGATGTTTATCTTCCATTTATGTATCTAGACTTTAGGAAAATTGTAAAATCTCTGTAGAGTAAGCAGATAATATCTTCACTAGCTCTTTCAGTATGTACTTCTTAAATGGAAGGAGTCCTTATTCGCAGTAATAATCCATGTAGCCTTTTTAGTACCTCTAAATTTGTTCCCAAGCCACTGATAAGATGATCTCATTTCCCCCATGTTGGGAAGTTATTAGTTGCACTAATTTCACATTGGCCCCTCACAGAGGCCACAGTCTTCTCTTCCCCAGAGAAGCAGGGAAGGAGAAAGTGGTTAATAGCCAGGCTTACCACTGGCATAAGTCTGAGCAGCTCTATGGGGTGATCGGTTAAACTTTAAGTTCTTAGAATTTAAACAGATTTTAAGGAACCATAGTTCTCTGAGATAGCATGCAATATAGCAATCTATGCTACCAGTATTCTCTAGATGTTTATTGAAGATACAGCTCTCAATTGGCTAAAAAAAAAAAAGAGAGAGAGAGAAAGCAGCGCTCGTTGCCTTCCGAAGTGCCTTGGAGGACTTTATCACAGAAGGAGGTCCCTCATGGTGGGGGAATCACTGGCTGTTGGCGCCAGATTCTTTTCAGATGGAAATTACCCACAAGTACTACCTGGGATACTGAACTTGAAGGGTGGGAAGGGACGCTGGGCAACAGAGAAGATGGGAAACTGGCTGGTTGTTGTGGAAGATTATATGCAAGGTCACTTTTGGAAACTTAGACATTTCCCAAAGAGTTCAAGTTGCCCATTAAGAACTAAAACACAGAGTCTACATTCACATGTCTCTATGGGATGGGCAGTCGAGGGCTCTTCTGGGCTTGGAAAAGTTCAGGCACACAGCGCAGCCAGATATATAAGGCTCGTGGTACTCTGCTCAGCATAATCTTCTGTGTTAACAATAACCTCTACTCTGTTCTGGTGAATTAGAATTTGGTCCACGATGTATTTCTGTCCCCTCAGGACTTGGCTTAATCACTTGCCTTGCCTTAGCTTACTGACTTAGCTGTGCTCTCCCTGACCTTTTGGACCTCATCTCCTTTCTGCTGAAACTCTGCTTTTTCTCTTGATCCCAACTTCTCTGTTTCTGACTTTGGCTTAAGTAACTGGGGCCACACCCAATTAATCCCCTAAAAACCATTCAATGAGAATGCCCAAGGCCCCTTTCCCCACCCCCACCCCTCCTTCCGGAGTTTGATTCATTCAGATATTTCCCACTTAAAAGACCAGGAAGCAAATGCCATTGCTTCAACTATAGAGGCCAGTGCCCCACAACTCCCCATCACCCCATTTTACCTTAGGGTTTCCCCAGAGGAGCCCCTCCTCTTCCACAGGTTGACCAGGCTGCTGGATCTGCTGGCTGCCGAGGATGACTTGCCATCCCCCACATGCATGCGCACCACGGTAGATGTGGTGAAGGCGCTGCGCACATTCCTCTCTGGTTTGGCCAGGATGATGTACACCTTCGGCACAAACATGCAGCCCAGTGCCACTGTGGCACTGAGACTGACGGAGAAACACATGGTGATGATTTTGTAGTTGCTGCCAAAGTAGATTGGCACAAAGGCCAGCCATATAATGCAGGTGGTGTACATAGTGAAGGCAATATACTTGGCCTCGTTGAAGTTAGCTGGAACGTTTCTCGTCTTGAAAGCATAGAAGGTACAGCTCAAAATCAGCAAGCCGTTGTATCCAAGAGGTGTGACAACCCCCAGGTTGGTGGTATTACAGATCAGGTACACTTCTCGAATGCTTGGGTAGTCGTGCATTATATCAGGAGGCTCCATTATAAAGAGGGCAACAATGATGCCCAACTGAATGCATATGAGAATGAAAGCAATCACCAGCTGGGCGCAGGCACTCATGAATCTGGGCTTTTTGGTACAGATCTTCTTCTTGCTGCCGGCCAGGATCCTTGCAATACGATTGGTCTTGGTTACAAGGGCTGAGTAGCTCATGGCTGGGGAAAGACCGATACCAATTCTCTGAAGGTAGCAATAAATCTGTTTGGGCTTTGCAATGAGGCAGAAGGTACATAAGTAACCCAGGCAGATGCCGGCAAGGATGATATAGCAGAGTTCCCTGCTGGAGGACTTGACTACTGGCGTATCACGGTAAATGATGAAGACTGCAGTGACAAATAGGGTGGCCAGTAGGCCAAGGCAGGCAAACACCACAGCTGCAATGGGCTCAGGATCACCCCAGCGGAGATACTGTACTGGGATCAAGTCACAGCCTGCAGAGACACAGACACATTGGAAAAAAAAAAAAAAAGAGGAAACATTTACTTGGGTCACCTAAGTGAACTGCGTAAGTTACAGCAGCTGCTGATGACCCTTTTCAGGACCCTTTGACTCCAATCTACCTTTCCAATCTCAATATCCCATGTTACTCAGTTCTTCATATATTCATTCATAAAATATGTATCTTTATAGTATCACACATCCTGTGAGAGGAGCTGTTCTAGGTTCTGAAAACAAAATGGTGAAGAACATGCGCCCTGCTCTCCTAAGAAATAATTGGGGAGGGAGTGCTTCTAAATAATTACTTACAACTGTGATAAGGGCCATTAAGAAGGACAGCATGGTTCCTAATGCAGTCTGTGGGAGCAATCAAAGCCTCCTTCAACAGGATTGAGCAAATGGAAGTGTTAGTTCGATGACTGGGCATTCAGTATATACAGCATATGGGGATTAATTGTAAGGAAAGCTAGGGGGCACTGGAGGCATGAAAGGAGGCCATGGTACAGGTGCAGTGAGTGGCCTAGATAAGGCTGGGAGGTAGGAAGGAAGGGCTCTTGCAAAGCAGAGAGGCCTAGACCAATAGGAAATCATTGGAGGGATCTATATATACAGGAAAGAAAGGACATGGTCACACCAGTGTTAAACATTCCTTTGGATGCTGTGTTGATCTAGGATGAGATAAAAGTGTGGAAAGATTTGAAAATTATTTGAAGCAATAGAGAGAGTTTAAATGGATGTGGGCTCCTTGAGAGTTGACCAACAGTGGATCCATCTATGCTGTCCTTGAATCCACTGTATAGAAAGGTTAGGATTTTCAGAGAAGCATATGGTTCCATTGTTATAAAAGAGAAGATACTTAGTAAAAAAGGGGGAGGGGGCAACAGAGGCAAAATGACCCCAAAGGCAAACAACTGGTCTGTGTGGGAAATACCCACACTCCACACTCCAAAAACTATTCTTAACTCATGGCTTGCATGTTTTTATATCACTTCATTACACATCAGGAAAAAAAAAAATGACAGAACAAATGGCATCATTTGGGGTATGCATCTTGTTTTCACATTTCTTTATGATCGTGATTCTCAAACTTGGCTGCACACTGGCATCACCCAGAGGCATTTTTAAAAAATCCTGTGGCCTGGGTCTCGCTCTCGGAGTTTCTGATTTAACTGGTTTGGACATCAGGATTTTTAACAGACACTCCAAGTGATTCTAAAGGTACAGCTAAAGTTAAGAACCACTGCTCTTAGAAGGGTCATTTCTCTCTCTCTCTCTCTTTCTCTTTGTGTGTGTGTATAAAGTAACATTTGTTACATTTAACAGAAACATAGAGATAAAGAAACCGTATTGAGTGAGCAGGAAAGGAGTTAAACAATCTGGAGCACTGGACATTTGAGGAACATGGCAGAGATAACTAATTGCCTGCAAATATCCATTCTCCCTTTTATATTCAGCAGCAGATTACTAATTTCATTTGGGGCTGGTAAAGAGTGCAGCCACACTACATTTTCCAGCAACCTTTTCAGTCAGATTGCTATGTGACTAGGTTTTAGCCAGAAAGATATAAGCAGGGAACTCCTTATAGAAAAATGACTAATCTTGGAGAATACCCTTTTGGTCCTTCTCGGCTTTCTCCTTCCCTTTCCTGGAATATAAAGATGGTGGTTAGAGCTCCATCAGTTATCTTGGAATATAAAGTAACTTTAAGAACAGAAAACGTGTCCTAAGTTTTGGAAGAGAATCCCCATTAACCATGGAATCACTCACTAGCTCTAGACTACAGACATCACATTTGTCTTGTTTAAGCTACTTCTCCGCCCCCCCCCCGGCGCCCCCCCGCCTTCTCCGCCATATATGCTTCCAACCCTAATCCTAATTGTTACAGGTGTAAGATTTTCCTATTAAATTCCCATATCTCACAGTCAAGGGTGTTGCAGTAAGAGGCTTTGAGTATCAAAGGTTACTTGGTGGTAAGGGAGACAACAATAAGTAATAATAGCAAAGAAACATGTGGTTCTTTCAAAATATGTCTAAGGGCAGCTCTTGAAAAAGGCAAAGAAATATTCTTATTTCTGCCTTGTCAGTCTCTTTCTTCAAGATCTCAGGCTTGAAATAGTACCATTAGTATTACTGTTAAATTCATTATGGGTTTAATGGGACTTGTGAGTTAGCCTTGGATCTTTGGTACATTTTACAGAATTGTTTCTATGGGAAAAGCAGTCTTATTTTAAAAACCTGTGTATTTAGAGACACCTGGGTGGTCCAGTCAGTTACGAGTCTGATTCTCGATTTTGGGTCAGGTCATGACCTCAGTGTCATGAGAACAAACCCAGCTTAGGGCTCCAAGCTAGGCATGGAGACTGCTTAAGATTTTCTCTCTTCCTCTCTCTCTGTCTCTTTCCCCTGCTTGCTCTCTCTCTCTAAAACAAAACAAAGCAAAACAAATAAGAAACTCTCGTGTATTTAATATTGAAACAAGGTGTTTTTAACTTAAAGAAATGTGGATGGCCTAGACTAAATATGAGACCGTTATTTTACATAGTTATTAATTATAAATAAACACATATCTCATTGCTAATGAAGATATTGTATCCTTATTTTTAGGCATCTGTGTTCACATATGCGGCTTATATGTGGGAATTCAATCTCTGAAATTTTAGTATACCACGGGGTTTTACTTCATATTTATAGATTTGTTCCTGGTAGAGACTATTTTATAATAGGAAAATAGGGATTAGTCAATTATTCCTATCTTTATTCTTCCATAACTGTTTATTTAGAACAGTGATGTGACAATGAAATCTATTATCTACCGTAGTTAATTCTAATGGGGCCTGTTTCCCCTCATAGGTCATGAGCTGTTAATACCCACAGTAACTTACTGGCATAGGAAACAGCTTATGTGGTGCATGAAGTGGGAATTTTTTCATTAGCTAAAAAGAATCAACTGAAAAAAAATGTATAAATGTTTACTTTAAAGGCTCTCATTTTACTCCTTTTCCTCTGCTGTTCTGCTAAATCTTAATTGTTTCTATTTAGATGTAATTAGCACCCTAATCCTAAATGTTTTGCATATGACAGCACTCACCACTATTTTTACATCAAATTCTTGAACTCTTCCCATGTAACCCATTAACATCATGTGTGAAACTAAAGAAAATGCCATTAGATATATTTGTTGGAAGAAATGTGCATGAGGCATGCCTATAATGTGGTGTGATTATTGTCACAAATTTGCCAGAATTTATACATTCAAATGTGTGTTTTTTTCTTTAATGTGAACCACTCAGAAGGCTTTATGTTTAGTTTAATGATGCTGCCATTGCACAAAATACTTTTGTAACTATTCTCTTGGAATAGCAAATTGGTTTCTGATTAGAGTGTTATAATCACTGAATCTTATAATTGGGTAAGTTCTTAGAGTTTCCAAAAACGGATGTGCTTCACAATCACTTGCAGCGTCTATAAAAATTCAATCCAAGGGTCTAACTCAGGAGATTTCGAATCAGTGCATTTTGAATCAGGACAAAGGAATCTTATTTTGAATAAGTAAGCTTAATGACTATACAACTGATCCTTGATCCTTGGTTGGCAGCCCAACCTTAGAGTATCAGACTGACTTCTTATCCAGTCTGTGAATGCCTTCTTTGATAATTCCAAGGTGTGATCATCCACACTGTACCTAAGACTTTGTTTCAAATATTTTATTTATTTATTTGGCAGACAGAGATCACAAGTAGGCAGAGAGGCAGCCAGAGAGGGAGAGAGGAGGAAGCAGGCTCCCTGCTGAGCCGAGAGCCCGATGAGGGGCTCCATCCCAGGACCCTGAGATCATGACCTGAGCCGAAGGCAGAAGCTTTAACCCACTGAGCCACCCAGGCACCCCTGTACCTAAGACTTTGAACTATATCTCAAGGCCAAGATTAGTGGTGGGGGAAGATAGATCAGAAAGTCAGGAGGTGAGGATGGCAAGTGGAGACTGGAGGTGAATAAACTGATCAGAAGGCTATCACAAGAGGATGATGGGAAAAAACTAAGTCATTGTCCTGAAGAAGACATTGATCTGGGAAAGACATTTTAGAGCTGGAATTGAAACAAGTTATGAGGTAGACAGAAGTTTCAGGAAAGGGGCTTCTAACCAAGTTGATAGCAATGCTAATAAAATAACTAAGACGAGGGCTGTAGGAAGAAAAGTGTCAGATTTTGTGGTGATGATAGATGAAGAGAATGGATGGTCCACTGATTTCCTGGACACCTAAAAATGTTATCACTGCTCAGTAATAACTGGTACTCATGTTTATTTTTCAGGTATTAGTCTTAAAGGATTAATATTCCTGTAGTTAATAGTTCCTAGACTATTACATTTCCACATCCTTTTCCAGGTGTCTGTTTAGGTAGAAGGAATGAGGAGTCAAAGATCCTGGATGGATACCTGATATTCTATAAGTCAGCGAGGCAGGAGCTCCCTAACAAGTTCCATGTGTATGTGTCCTCGGCCATTTCAGGTGTACAACACTGATGTGGGGCCATTGTGGGACTATCCTTTGATACCTGAGCAATAGATCTGCCCAGAGTACAAGGTGTTGACTGGTGACTAACATCATGCTTCGTTTAAGTCTGTTCCATGCATAGACCATTTTTCTGTCTTTAGACTAGATTTTGGTTTCTAGGATGTTGAGCCAAGATAGCAGAAGAATGCAGACTCAGAATTCTTTCTGCATTGTTCATACCCCTGAAAAGAATCTCTTCACATAGCCTGAGCTAAAGGTGTTTTCTTTATCACTTCCATGGTTCAGAAGAATTGGAAGTGGTGTGTGTGTGTGTGTGTGTGTGTGTGTGTGTGATATTTAGGTACCTTATTTTTCTTTGTAGCATTTACTATAACATCACCTATTTTGTGTGTATGAGAGAGGGAGTGAGAGAGAAAGATTATATTGTTAAGGTCTATCCTCCTTCCTGGACTTCAACACTCTAATGTTAGGGAATTTGTCTC